GGGGACCAACTCGAAGGCATAATGAAATTCGATCGCCGCATAAACCGTGCCAGAGACTGCAGAGAGGTCAAATGGATTACACGCAACTGCTTAAAAGAGCGTGAAATGTCTGGGACTCGCTACAAAAATCCAGAGATGGGTACCAATTGAGTTGAGAACAATTTACTTAACACAAGAGTAAAACGATAAATTCTGCAATCTTGACGAAGCAGCGAAAACTGCATCAAAAGTTGAAGTGCATTTAACAAAGTTTGTCGTGTGTTGGGAGAATGGGGAGTTGCGCAGTCAGAGCTCGTTCCAAGGAACGAAACGATCAGATATGATAAACATTAGCAATTAGTGAAATTTGTGGAATCATGAAACAAAAAAAACCGAAATGGACAAATCATAGACTTTTAGTAAGTCGTAGAGTTATCGGAACATGGTTTAAAAGTGATATTCTAAATATGTTCTCGGACATGAAGCACCGGATCATCGTATGCTTAAAGCTTTGTAAACTTCATTGAATGGCAAGATTTACCCTAATGATGACCTGATACATCACTTAGCCTAATTTCTTGATAATAAAAATTAGAATCCCAAAGAGATGACAAAAGTTTGTTAAACAAAGTGGAACATTAATAAGTAGTTACAGTTAATCCCCTTTAGAGAAACCAAATCCTACTTATTACCAACTAATTACTACTCCTTCTCCAGTGGTAGATGGAAAAACATTCTCTGCTACAGTCATAGAAGGATGCTTCCACTTTTTCATTAATACAAAATAGAAGACATAATTTGTGAAGACCTGTAGATATCGGGAAGGCGTGAATAAAGAATAAGCATGGACTAAATGGAAGGATTAGTAGCTATGCGCATCGCTCAAACCGGGAGGGACGGAAGTACATCTTCTTTATGGCTGAAAGAAGAGGTACAGAAACAGGAAGATAAATGGACAAAACTGCAAAAAGCAAATTTTCCTTTTGTTGTTGTGGTTGGCTCAAGGAATTGAAATTTTTATGGGACTTAACCACCAGAAACCCGTCAGTAAAATTGGGGGGAATGTTGAAACTCGTCCTGGATGACTGGAGGATTTCACAGTATAACAATCTAATAACAATGAAGCAATTGTTCGTGAATATTTGGGTTACCCCAATTCTAAAGTTCCTACAAAACCGGCAAAAGTGTTATTTATGAAATAAGATTTTGTGAAAGATATAAGACTGAGTCAAAGGTTAAAGCTAATTTATGAAAGCACACAGAGAAGCGAATGGGTGCAATATGGGTTATTATACACCCCCACAAATAATTACGGAATTCAGTCGTTAGGACGCCTCCCGTGTTAGGCATAGACTATGGTGAGTTTCCAGAAATCGACAGGAGCTCACAAAACGGCTTTATCCTATTCTAAAATTCCCTGCAGTACACAGCATATGAGAAGCCTGCATAAAAAGGAACCTACGTGTCCACCCTGAGCAAGGCGCGTGCCAGTTCGTAGGCCGGAGAAAATCTGACCCATGTGTACCACCCCGGTGACACCCACGACCTCAAGGAGACCGTCATAATGGGTAGGTTTGGTGAAGGCCTCATCCTTCTCCACGCCCCAGGGATTGGCACCAGCTCCCCAGGAGTGAATGTTGAGAACGATTATCCCCTCTATGGGGGGAAGTTCGAGCTGTCTACCATCCACCTCGATTGCGACATTCTGATGAAGGTCCTTGCACTTTGTTTGGTTCACCATCTTTCTCAGTCCCATCTTGAAGTATACCGACTTATTGTGAATTCTATCAATATAGAACCGAAGAAAAAGATATATAGTGACCTAAGCAACAGTGTCAGTCTTAATCGATGCTACTTAGTAAACGTAGAAATGGCAAATTATACTTAAATGCCTGAGAAAAGGTATCTGGCCATGGTAGACACTTGGTTCAGTTAATTAACTTTGCACTGCTAGGATTTTGTATAGACTAGACCGAAGCCACGGACGTCGTTCATGATTCAGCGGTTCCGAAACTGATCTAGTTCGAATCCCATGTCAAAAAGCACCTAGCCACTGTCCTTAGAATACACAGCTGTAATTAAAAGAAATTTTCGCTACAAATCACTTAGTGTATGAGCTACGCAATATCATGTGAAACGTCATGAGAAGCAAGGAAAATGCCGTGGAGTTACAGGTGTTTTCCTTAAAGAGGAAATATTTCTACACCAAATAACAGTGTAATGTTGCCTAAAATGCTGATTTAGAAATAACCTAATTTGGAATAGGTGTGTAAAATTTTCACGTCTTTAAGATGACAATCTAATTTTTCATACACACTTATTTTCCGTGTGAATTTCCGTCCACTGGTATAAGCTCGTTTACCAAAATTAACGAAAAGGTGTTCAAAAACATGAAAATAAGACATGTTTGATGGAATAACATATTCATCTAGGCCCTCGTGGAGAGCGACTAATTTGCCAATTTGCATTTTCTGCTTGAATAAGAGATCATTCTGATCAAAGAAAACTAGGATTTCTAAACTGGTCGAATAGTTAGGGCGAAAAGGCTGGTGGTGCGTACTCTAACAAAGTGTCTAAACATGCGGACAGGCTTTAATGGGTGAAGTCTTCGAGACTTTGTGTGGGAACTTATGGGCCATCCGGTTTCACCAAAAACACCCAACAATCAGCAATGGTCTTGCAGTGTTTGAACCGAAGTGACCCGAAAGACGAAACATTCAAGCGATGAAATTTTGTAATGAAGCACCTTAAAGCTAATTACTAAATTATCGCTAAAATACAAATGGCAAAAACCAGCTAAATTTAAGTTGTTTGATCGTGAAGTTTCGTGTACTTGCGTGAATCCCGCTCTTTCTCTAATACACAGCACAGGAGGAAATTGGTGATGAGCTTCACAAAAATTTCCAGTCGCCATTGCATCTAATTTGATTTTTCAACATGCGTAAAATACAATACACCATAGTTCTAGTAACCTCTTATTAAAGCCTTTAAGAATGGTTCCTCAAGCAGGGTCGACTCAAGGTTGCTTAAAACTCTCGAGAATAGCGGTTTCATTAACAAATCAATGCACCCTGTTAATGGTAGAAGGCCAGCTCTAAAGAGCTAGTGGCTCGTCTTCTGCGTATGCAACTGTGAGCGAGAGTTCGTGGTTGTCAATTATGCCATGGTGTGACTGCCCTTATTAACTCGAATCCATCAAGTGACCTACGGGAAATGGTGTGTAAAAGTACACGATGTCACTAATTCTCATTGTAAAGTCCCTCACAGTAGTTAATTTGGCTTAATAAAAATTATTCACTTCGTAAAAATAAATAGCTCTAAAAACGAGGTGAGTCACACACATGTTTGGATACTGAAAGTGAAGCGATTGGGATTCTACATTCAGAAACCGATCAGGCTGTGATTACTAAGTACTTTTAAAAAAAAGCGTGAAGTCATATAGACCCAAGTCTACCTCCTTTTCCCTGTTACCAACCGAATATTATTAAACAGGGGTCTCTGAATCAGTGGTAAGTGGTCGTGAGATTTTCTGACTACAAAATGGGAGTTGCATTGATCCGAAGCATAGCCAACAGACAAGGAGCAGCGCAAAAAGACCTGATCATAAAGTCAAGTAACAAACATGTTCACTTGTGAGGGGTTTCTCAGAAGAATGGAAAGAAACTAGCGAAAATCGGAGGAGAAAAGAAAGAGGAATGAAGGAAGTGGATTCATGCGGATGTGGTGAGGGGTTTGTGAGTGCTAACGAAAACAAGTTCAACTGACCTACTGTTGAACTTGGCCGGATTCTCCTCACGAGCAAGATGGAAGTCGAGGTTGAGATCGGCATCGATACCGAGACCGAAGTAGTTGTTCATCACAAATATCCTGCTAGTGTCCTCGTTCGTGTTGCATGCGTTCGCCTCGATCTGCAACTGTTTCTTTTGGGCATCACTCTCCACCTGGTCCGGTTTAATAACAACTGTCCAGCGATCCAGGCGTATTTCTTCAGCGTTCACCACATCCCTAAGATATAATAACGAAAGTGATTTAACTCCACTATTAGTAAGCAAGCTTTCTGTTCCCGCCACCAGAGATTATTCAAAAGGGCAAGCAGGTGGTACCAAGTTTTACAACCGCTGTGTTGCACACTAAACACAGAGACTTTGAGAGTAGTGATATAAAATCACTGTTGCTGGGATTGTGCCTCCTGCGTCTTCAAAAGCAAATGATGCACTTGGTCCCGACTCCAGAAATTTGTATTCGGTGGCATGAAAATTTTCATTGTAGGGAAACGACAATGTGTTTCAAGGGGCTACTATATATATTCTTTCAGCTAGACGAAATGACACCTGTTCGCAAACTTGCGGGAACACAGTAAAGAGCAAATTAGAGATAACGAACCGAAGAATCTGGAGTGGATCCTCAGTACCGGTGTAGCCGGAGCCCCAGTTGAGAACACGAGCAAGATCGTTGCCCGTTCCGATTGGGAGGATGGCCATGGGTGGGGTCGGGCATGCGGCGTCCTGTCCAACATTATCCAAACAAGAGAGCGCCCAACCTACTGTACCATCGCCACCACAGACAAGAATTTTAAACCGTGACAGGTGCCGAAAACAGTGCAAGCCCGAGAGTGGGCCACCGTAATCCAGGTTAAAAACCTAAGGTAAAACGAAAGATTTTTGACTTAAAATTGGACTGGAAAAATGGGAAAAAACAGATCACACACGGACAGAAATGGAGATAATGCTAAAGGTAGAAATTAAAGTAAAGGACCACATTTTCTATGCGCAAGAGAACTCAAACACAAAAGCATAAGGATATTTCTGGTGAAAAAAACGAATAAAGGACCTGACCACGTGCCTGCCTTATATTTTATTTAAGCAAACGAAGTAAACAAGCTAGTACCTAGTTAGTTTGGAAGCATTGGTACAAACTTAAAGAAAGGGTCACTATAAACGCAAAAGATCACCTATAACCTTGCCTCGGTGTCTTCGTAAATTAAAGCGTTATGTCCAACACATTACTAAAGATTTGTTAAAATACGGCTAGGGATGATTTCCATGAAAGAAATGTTAAGACTTCTTAGGGTCTGAGATTAATGCGGGATAAAATCTGAAAGTCGAATATATTCAGCATAAAAGTAAGCTAATTACGATTACCATTAGAACGACCAAGGACTTTGCATTTGAACAGAACTCCCCAGATTCGGCATCGTTCAATTAATTCTGAGGGAATGGGTGAAAATTAGACCATAAACTACAAATTTAAAGTGAGTA